TGCGACTCGCTGCAGCCCACCGCCGGGGTTCGAAACCGAAAGGTTCCTGAGGTTCACCAAGCCTCTAGGTAATGGGTACCAGAGTTAACACTTTATGGTAAATGGAGGAACGTCGCTGTAGCTACGGAGTTGAGTGCGGACGGCGACACAGGCGGACAGTGTCTTATCAGCTGCAATGACGCTGGTTCACATCTCCCGACTTTACGTTTTGTCATGTAGAAAGTCGGCGTTTTCTGGTGCCATGAAATTCAAAGAATTCTTAGGAAAATAAATGAAGAATGAATTGTTGAATATATTGAATTTATTACTGAAGATCTATTAAAACTCCAAGCGGAACCAATATCAGGGAAGTTTCAACCATAGGCCTAACAAAAATACATGACCTAAGGTAAGTGACAACAAACCGCCAGACACTGAGAGCTATGACCTCTGCCCCATGCGCCATTCTAGGCTCAAGGGGAAAGATTAAGTGACTAACATTTATTTAATATTTAATTTCAGGAAATTCCATTTCGACCAGAGAGAGACAAGTGGTCAAGATGTTACTGGTCATCATCGTCGTCTACGTGGTCTGCCTGACCCCAAGGATCGCCCACTACATGGTCAAATACTTTGTCTATGACTTCTACTTTCTTCGACGACTACACAATCTTTTCATGATCATGGTTTTCATCGTCATTACCTTTGACCTCATCAATGCGGCTTTTAACTTGTTTATATTCCTGGCCATGAGCTCTTCATTTAGAGCCACCTTCCTGGAAGTGTTTCCGTTGTGCAGCCATTTGCCACCAAACCAAAAATCAGTATCGGGGAAATATCCAGGCAAGTAAATGTAAATAGTCAAGGAAAGGTACTCACCAACACTAAAAGTCAAATGGACAGGTGTGCAGATCAATACACTTTATGTTACTTGATTAATTCATAATATTTAACGGCCTCAAAGCTTCCCCCTCTGTTTATTTATAATTATTGAGCAAAGCATTGAACTAAATTCACCCCTCTACATTGGATGCATGTACTATCAAGAAAGCTTTTCACTGTATTTATATGGAATTTCTCTGAAAATTATTGAAGCAATATTGAATCCCACTTTTATTATTATTTAATATCTATAATTATTAACTTAGTAAAAGGAATATATAAAAGCATACAATGTCGAATTCTTCATAAGGGAAAGGTAACAGATACAGTTGAAATAAAAGCAGGTGTGCGACACGGATGTCTTTTGTCGCCTTTCCTATTTTTACTGGCAATGGACTGGTACCAAGAATGGAATTCAATTCAATGGACAACTGCAAAACCGCTTGATGATTTGTCCCTTCTGCCCCACTCGCGGAATCAGATGCAAGATAAATTAAATATACTTGATACGAGATCAAAGCAGCTTGGTCTGAAAATCCATAAAAAGAAAGACAACGATAATTAGAATAAATCAGACAAATAGTAATATGGTTTCTCTTAACTGTATCCCACTCCAAGACGTGGAGTCGTACACATATTTGGGCAGTAATGTAGATAAATTTTTTAGAGAGATATCAAAATGCGAATACAAAAAGCAAGAAGAGCTTTCATAGCACTGGGGAATTTGTGGAGGTCAAAAGAAAGTAAAACAAATACTGAACTTAAACTCGCGTCCTGAAGGTCTTGGGTTCGTTTCGCGGCTGCGCCCTTTAGTTCACAAGTGCGTTGTTGTTGTTGTTATCGATCCAGCGGCGCATGAACTTTCGCCCTTTGGCCCAATGCCATGTAGTGGAATTTGCATGTTTTCACAAGCTGTTCTTTTCCTCCGTACAAGGTGTTCCACTTGTCTGGTCTCGGAGGGAGTAGCGTTCTTCTTGTCTCACTGAGTTTTGGGCACTCAAAGAGATGGTGTTCAACAGTTTCGTAGGGGTAGTTACATAGCTGGCACTCTGGGGAGTGTTGTGGCTGTATTCTGTTTAGGTGTCCATTGAGTGGAGTATGTTGCGTTCTAAGTCTGAAGATGGTGGCCTGGTCCCTTCTTGTTAGATGGTTAATGCTGTCATTAGGATCAGGGCCAGACATATGTCTATAAACCTCTCTTCCAGTGTCTCCCATGGCCCATCTGTTCAACCAAGTCTCTTTGTTTATAGCTCTTATCAGTGTTTTTGCTGTCTGGAGGGTTGTCGCTGTAGGTGGTTGTTCTTGTGTTGCTCCTTTCTTTGCCAATCTGTCAGCTCTGTCATTACCTGGTGTGCCGGAGTGACCTGGAATCCACTGCATCACTATTCTGATGTTGTATGAGGTAATAAGCTGATCGGCATCCAGGATTATCTTGGCTATGTCAGTTCTGCAGCGTTCATTGCCCTCCAGAGCTTGAAGGGCAGACATTGAATCTGTGAAGATGACAATATTTTGGACCTTTGAGGGGTAAACATCCATTACAGTCTTTAGGTGGTATACTGCTGTTTCCAGTGCAATTATTTCAGCTTCATAGTTTGAACAGAATTCCCCGCATGCATCAAAAATCTCTTCAACAGATCCATCGGGATAACCTATGTAGATTCCGTAACCTGCTTTAATGGTAGCTTTAAATGCTGATCCATCAGTATAGACATGAATCCATTCTTGGGGGTAAGAATCAACGGTCTTTAGTGATGAGGTTCACAAGTGCGATTACAGCCTTCGAAGGCCTAGTACAAGGAAACAGCCCATTGTCGGACTGACCTGAATGCATCCACTTACTGATCTTTATTGCCTGATGCATTTTCACTACGGTGATTTAAAACACACACACATGCACGCGCGCGAACACACACACACACACACACACACACACACAAAATAACAACAGATAAAGCAGTCCAACACCTACTCGTTTCTCTTTCCCTCATACAATCCCTTTGTCACAACATACTTCAGTTGTTTTTCCCACCTCTTTAAATGCTGAAAGAATGTAGATTGTTTCTATTTTTCTAAGGCTGTCAATGTCTCTTAAATAATCGTCATCATCATCAAATGTTTCACCGACTGGCGTGGGCGATTATGCCTCTCCACAATCGGCGATCTTCAACAACATGGATCACTTCGTGTGCTGACATTTCTCCTTCCATGACAAAACACTTTTAACAATCTTCTTTTGTTGCCCTCCTCTACCTTTTTCCCATATTCTCATTGCATGACTATATAATGATGACTGCCGCTATATGATGTTTGTGATAAGTTGACTTCGAGCCCTCGCCTTTTTCAAAACATTCATGGTTGCTCTTTAAATCATGCCTTTAATCAAGAATGTTTAAATGATTCGAACATGAAATAATGCATTTAAGAAATTATACCAGAAGAGCATAATCTGAAATATGCCTGTGTTCCCAGTTCTAAACCAGTGAAAAAATAAAGTTCGTTCGTTCGTTTTTATCTGTCACTGGTGTTCGCTTATTACAACAACAACAATAACAATATAAGCTGTAAAAACAACAATAAAAACAATGTTACACTGATGTTTATAATGAAAGGCTGTATTATGTTCTTGAAGTCAAGTAGCTTGCATTAGGTTTGTTTCGGAAATTTAAACCTCATTAGTAATTCCTCTTTGGGCAAAAAAAAAAAAAGACAAAAAACATAAAGTACTCAAAAAAGACCAGAAAAATCAAGAAGTTGACGAACAACGAGAACTTTCCACTAGAGATTACAGCCAGTGAACGCGAAGAAGCAAAAGCAGAACTGTCATACACTGTCGTACACGAAGTCAACTCTGTCCTGAATAATCTACCCGTTGAGAGCGTTGAGAACATCTACCATTTCCATTGCCTTTTCTGTGCCTACCGAGGCCCTGCCAGCAAGCCATTCAACTGGTTTATTTCCTCCTAAACCATTGTGTCCTGGCACAAAAATGAATCTGACTTCTGTCGAGATGTCTTCAGAGGCCTCATTCATTATCCTCGAAACCATCTTGTTTCAAGCTTCTTAAAATTGTTCATGGAATTATTTAAAACTACTCAAGAGAAATATATATTTACATCAAGTCAGGTCATTGATTCTGTTACAACCATAACTGTTTGTAGTCAATGCAAAATCATATCCATCTTCCTATACAGTTTTGTGCACGTCGATCGAGGAATCTATTCTGTATTATTAGCTACATCTGCGTCAGCAGAATTTTCTAGTCTGCACTTTCAGCTCCACCACCAACGGGTTTTGGCGTGTGTTCTCTCTGTTCTGTTTTGTAGTCTGAAAAAGCAGTCCACTACTCGTATCCATTCCTCCCAGTTCCTACGTCCTCAATTAAACAAACCAATTGAATGATGAGGGAATTAAATGGTATAATAGAATAACTAATGTACAGCTTTTGGAGAGAAATAAACAAGCTCCAGTGGACCAAGGGGTGACGAAAAGACGCTGGCGTTGGATAGAACACACATTAAGAAAACCGTAAAACAAAATAAGTAGAATGTCTTTGCATTAAAACCGACAGAGGCAAATGAATTAAGGAAGGAGATAAAATATGGCGAAACCCTTTAAACTATTATTCTTGAATGAATTATATGATTAACCTTTGCACGGAGGGGTGTCAGCACACGCACTGATAGAAAATTACGTGCAAAAGGCGGGGCATTCGAAAGGTCATGGCAGACCGGAGTAGCCCAAGAAATGCTTAAATATGGGAGTTGTATCTCTCTTGTGGGAAATGAATGAAAGACGAGACTCAATCATAAATGCTACTAAGAATCACAGGTTGTGGAGAGGAATGACGACCCGCTCCAGTCGGCAAGAAGATGATGACGACGACGACGACGACGACGACGATAATGATGATGACGATGATGATGACGATGATGAGGGTAATGATGATGATGATTGACTGATTGTATACATAATCTTTTCCCTAATACATTTTATGTAAATTTTTTTTTTTTTTTTTTTTTTTTTGATAACAATTACTAAACTCTTTAGAGGACAATAAACTAGAGATATTCCTATAATTAAAAAAAAATTTCCGTTGGATAAAAATAAACTATATTTTCTGCCTATTAAATTACATATTATTTGCCTTTTTTACTTCGATTTTCTGTTGAAGTGTTTTCATTATTGGCGTGAATCAACCGGTTACAAATCGGGAATATTTCTAAGAACGTAGATCTAAATGAAGAACTCATTACCAGAAAAATGAACAAGTTGATAACTGCGTTGATCAAGTCAAAAGTAATTACCACGTAAAAGAATATCATGAACAAGTTGTGTAGTCGTCTGAGAAAGTAGAAATCGTAGACGAAATATTTGGCCATGTAGACGGCGATTCTTGGGGATAGACAGACAACGTAGACACCAATGATAACCAGCAGCATCTTGACCACTTGTCTGTCTCTAGAGGAGATCTGGTTTCCTGAAATTAGATCAACGGTTCAGAGTTAAACTATGAGAAAAGAAGAAAATGAGTTTATATTTATAGTAAAAATCTGACATATCATAATTCAACAAATATATTATCTTCCTTTTTGAGTATTCAACCGATTTATGCCGGGTCACATGACCACCAGAATCGCTGATCAGGCCAGTGTTCATGACTCGCCTCATCTGTTTGGCTTCCTTTTTCTCTTTTTTTTTTCATTCCCATCAACGTTGCTAGTGGTCAGTTGTGTCCATTCTAAAAACTTCCTTGTGGTGACTAGTAATTGTATTCGACTTTAACATTTAACCAATAACTGTATTTATGTGTGTGTGTGTGTGTGTGTGTGTGTGTGTGTGTATGTATATACACACATACACACACACACATATATATATATATGTATATGTATATAAGAGAGAGGGAAGATAAAGAGAGAAAGACAAAGATATAAAGGCATAAAGAGTGTGTGTATGAGAGAGGTAAAGAAGAGAATTTGAGAAAGAGAGAGGGCGAGAGAGATAAAGAGAGAGAGAGAGAGAGAGATAGAGAGAGAGAGAGAGAGAGAGAGAACGGACAAAAAAAATTAGTGAAAGAAACGAAAATCGAATCAAAGAAAGACATACTGAAAGAGGGGGATAAAGAGTTAAGAAAATAGTGAGACAAAGAGAAACAAAGAAAGACATATTGAGAGAGACAGAGAAAGAGAGAAAATTGTGAGAGACTTATCTTGCAGAAAACTGGACAAGGAAGAGAAACGATCAGCAAATCTCATATGTATTGACCTAGCGCGGGTGAGGGCCGAACTCTTTACACTTCAAAAAAAAATATATTCTTTGTGAAATATTTTTCCTCTACTTATAGAATGTACAGAGAGGCAAGAGGAGTTTTCATAGCACCAGGAAATTTGTGGAAGTCAAAGGAAATTACAACAAATACTAAACGTAAAATGGTTCATTCTTATGTCAAATCAACATCTCTATATGGAGCGGAAACATGGAGAACAACTTAATTATTTCCTAATGAAATATAAACATTCATTAAATGGTTCCTACGCAAAGTATCATCATCATCATCATTATCATCCCGAAACAATGAATGTCGTTGGGTCACCAGTTTCTGTTGACTGTCTGATCAGTTCTCTCCACCTTTGGCGGTCAGTTGCGATGGACTTCCAAGTTGCATGCTTGAGGCATGTCCAGTCAGTCACGTTCTGTAACCAGGTCTTTCTTTGTCTGCCTCTTCTCCTCTTTCCCTCTACGGAGCCCTGCAGTACTGTTTTTGAGAGGCTGTTAGATCTTATTACATGTCCATACCATTGCATTTTTTGGTTTTTCACTGTAGTAAAAGAGGTTCATGGTTGCCAATGTGCTGTATTATTTTATGGCGAACCTCTTCGTTTGTAATGTGGTCTCTGTATGATATGGCAAAAAATTTTCTGAAACATCGCATCTCTAATGCTTGTATCTTTCTTTCAAGTTCATCTGTTAAGGTCCACGTTTCACAGCCATACGTGAATGTACAAATAGCTTGTGCTCTGAGCAATCGAATCTTAGTTTTGCATGAAATGTTTTTGGATCTCCATAATGTTTGCTGCCTGACAAGGACTGCTGTTGTCTGGGCAATCCTAGACGTGATTTATGGTCTTGATCCCACGTCACTGTAAATTGATCTAAAATCTTTGAAATGGGTTACTTGTTCTAATTTGTGGCCTTTAACGTAGATTGGTGAAATTCTGCCAGCTATACGCAAAGTGTAGGGAATTAATTGATTGTAGAATCACACATGTTGAACTTTGATAGAGATTTAAACTAATTCTGTTGAATCAATACACGAAGAAAAGACGCTGGCGTTGGATAGGACACATGCCATGTTGACAAGATGAGAAGAACATGGGGTGAGATGCAAGGGACAGGACAACATTTCGCGAGATAGCTCAGGGCTTATGCTCCATCTGTGGAAGAGAGGGCAGAAAAGAAAAAGAATAATAAATTATACAAGATGCCATTTCAGCGACGCTGACAAAAAGAAAACATTATGTTTTTGCGTTTGTGTGTGTGTGTGTGTGTGTGTGTGTGTGTGTTTGTGTTTACTTTGCTTTACTTCTGTTTACTGCACTTCACTTTACTTCACTTCACTGCACTTCTATTCACTGCACTTCACTTCGCTTTACTTTACTTCAATTCACTTTACTTCTATTCACTTCACTTCACTTCACTTGACTTGACTTCACTTCTATTCACTGCATTTCACCTAACTTTACTTTACTTCACATCACTTCACTTTACTTTACTTCTGTTTACTGTACTTCACTTCACTTCGCTTTACATAACTTTACTTCACTTCTTTTCACTGCAATTCCCTTTACTTTATTGACTGCATTCCATTCGCGTCCTCTCTCAATCAGTGACTGTCAGATGCTGTCTTCCCAGGGAAACCTGGGTCGCTCTATAGTCTGGTTCCCTGGTTTATGGCGTTCAGTGCAAGCCATGGTAAAAAGCCAGTTCATTCAGTCAGTTTTATGGTTGTTCTACGTCAAAAGATCCATTCAGTGAAATAGCTCCTCTGCGCCTATTCATAGAATATGTTTCTGGGCATAGTCGTGCTAGCTGCCTAACTATGTAAGTGTGAATATATGTGTATGTGTGTTTGCATAAATTGTGTGCATTTATGTGGTTATGCAGGTGTGTGTACGTTTGTTTGCGTGCGTGTTTGCATGCGTATATATATGTGTGTGTGTGTGTGTGTGCATTTGTGAATGTATGTGTGTGGATATGTATGTGCATATGTGTGCATGCCTCGGTTTGCCTGTGTGCATGTATGTATGCATGAGTGTACACACACACACACACACACACATATATATATGTGTGTGTGTGTGTGTGTGTGCGCGCGCATATGTAAGTCTGCATGTGTTTGTTCTTTATAATTCAGTGCAGGATGTCGAGAGCCGCGATTAAGCTAAACACGTGCCTGGGCGGTTTTTTTAAATTTATTTTTCAGGTTTCTCAAGTTAGCCAGGCCTAAAACTGGTAGCAGGGAAAGTCTTGGGGAGTACAGTTGACCAGTTTAATGTTAGCAACATCCACCATCGCGTGTCCATTGGTCTATGTAATCTGTACATCTTGTCCATTTTCACACATTTAAACTCAACTTTCTAGGTTCTGTGAGAGCACATCATCGTCAACCTCATCCTCATCATCATCATCAACATCATCACGTGCCTTGTCGACTGGCTTGGGCGACCATGCCTCATTACAATCTGCGATCCGCAACTGCGTGTATCAGTCAATATGTCGACATCGCCCTTGTCATAGTTTGCAAACGCTTTACAAAGCCGAAACCGTGAACTGGACAAGGTGAATTTGAATGCCTTATACAACCAAGTCTCTCTTGAATTTATAACACACAATTTACAAAATTTAAATATTAAACACAATTTTTTTTTACAGTTTGAAGTGTGCGTTCCGGGGCCCCCACTGTAGGGAACAAACAAGAATAGACCCACTGCCTACCCAAACAAGCATGTCGTCGGAGCTTCTTTCGAAGTTGGAGTGCATCTGTCCGATCGGCAAGCAACAACCAACCGCACACAAATATGCCAGTAAAACGTATGTGCACGCAAAACTCAAGCCCTGACACAAAGCCAAAGTTCAAGTGACAGAACAACCAGGACTTTCCCCCGGTTTACAGCCGGTGAACAAGAGAGAAGTATGGTGTTCCACTTTCAAACGCGCATGCGCGCGAGCACACACACACACACACACACAGACGCATGATTGCCTACATGCACACACACACTTGAATAGCACAACTTCAACTCACGTGACTGCTTCTCGGAATTCTGGGACTGCAGCTGTGTACTTCCTGTCCGGAACTTTGACGACTTCCGGAGATGGTAGATGATTACTCCAGTACAAAGGACGATGATGGCAAAACACACTACAGGCAAAATCACCCCGGAGAGGTTGTAGAACAGAAACACCGGCTGTTTGTTTCGGTGAAAAAAGTCGTTGTTGATGTAGATCGCAATAGTTCGGTTGTAGTGGAAGCTGTACACCCATTTAATGTCGTAGACGCAGAACATGACAGAAAACCACCCGAAAACGACGAGAGAAACCACAAAGCAAATAATAAAGGAGCTTTTGCGTGTGATCAGCCATTTTGCCTTTAGTGGTAAACTGACACATACGCACCTCTCAACGGCCACATAAGCGGCAAGAACAATAGAGACATAAGTAGCGAAACAGGTGTACAAGGTGAAAACAACAATAGAAATATTAGACCAGCTCTCAGCATCTGCTGGGTTCCATAAACTGATTGGGCCTGAAAATCTTTGCAAGGCACAGCCGACACATTTGACGAAGTCCCACATAGCAATTGCTGTCATGGAAATGGCGATACTGTCCTTGAACTTTTGTTTTGCGAAGACCACAATAACAAGAGCATTTGTAACCATACCAACCAAGGACATGAGAAAGCACAGGGTAAGCTCAATACATATCTCCGCTATTCTTCTGTCTGAGGAAGTCACGAAAATGTCCTCTGGAATGAACTCTTCTATTTGTTTATCAACATGTGGGTCATTACCAAGGTAACGAAATGAGATATTTGTAAACAGTGAAAGAGCAGGCATTGTAATATTTTCAGTAACTTCTTTAATGATAATAAAATTTCATTAAAATTAAAAAATAAAAAGTTAGATTTAAAGTGGAATCAGAAATGTAGGCAAATGTTTGCTAATTTATTTGTTAAAAATGTGTATATTCGTTGTGATCAGAGTTCAAAAACGAAAATGGCGAATTCAGACGAGAAATATCAATATAATAGTGCATGAAGATTTGTTACATTACAACAATACAAAATATCTGGAACTTCACTCACTTTAGTACTATATGGTTCTTCAAATGTCTCGGGGACGACAGACTACCTGTACATATTTACCTACAATTGTAGAAGTGAGCTATGTTATTGATAACTTGCTCTAGGAAGGCTCCAGGCCAATGTGGAATTTTTTTAGAGGTTGTGAAGTGGAAAAGTTGAGACAACATTCGACTCCACAAAGTTATCACTTAATAACAATATGTTGGCACGAAGGACAGGTACTGCGATTCAATTATCCTGTGTACAAGAACAACACGCCCCACTGACTTAAAAGTGGCAAACATAAATGTTGTTTTTCTATCAGAGATACGCCATTTAAATAATGTTGTGTATTCTTGTTCGCACATGTGGCACTGTAGATTTATGTGATGTCCTGATGAAGTCTTTGTTGCCGCAACGTTCATTCTCGTTTGTGTTCGTGATATTATGAAGTTGACTTTTCCTACTTTTCTTTTGGTTTCATATGTTTTTGTAAAAACTTTAAATCTAATCATTGACTACACAGCGATAGACAGTTTGTTAATTTTGAATTATTTATAAACAAAACCGAACATTTAGCAAGTGACTCGTCAACGGAATTAACTTTCCCCTGCTGGAGATAGCGTAATCATTAACCTCTAAATAATGTTCTTGACAGACGCACGTAACTGCGACAATTAATCCCCTGGGCGATTGAAATAATAACATTTACAACCAGATCAATACATAAAGATAGACAACTTGTACGTACCGTTACTAGCGATACGCAGAAATTATTCTACTTTAAAAGAATGTCAATATTTGCAAAATATATATAGAGAGAACTACAGCATCTAAAAATCACTGAAACTGCAATTAATTATTTTCAGTTAATTTTTATTGAATAACAAATGACACTAAGACATCTACAATTAGTGATATACGGAAGGTAGTTAAGTCATCTATTTAACGGTAATTTTAACAGTAATACAGGTCACCGTTGCTCGAGGCCACACAGATTGTAGTTGCCAGATTGTGCGGCTGTGCATATATATTATTTATGTACGAGTATTTATTCAGCAATTAGGTTGTCGTGGTGGTGTAACGGCTGGATGCTCGCTTACTGCCTGAGGGCCTGGGGTTCGAATTCACATTAAGTATATGGTATGTCCGCATAATTAACTTGCCTCCCAATCCGACGCAGTCTTAAATAAGTAAAGTAAGTAAAGATCCCTTTTCATGCCTTTCGGCGTATCGGGCATATGGGAAGAGCGCCCATATTTTATACAGACCAATCAGCACTCGGTGGGTAATGTGGTTAGCATTACGCCTGCCGTCTTTACTTCCCCAGGTCAGCCATCCTGGTACCCATTTTAGGCTGGGTCGACCTGCGACGCCCCATACCATGATAAAAATTGACGTAGCTAGCAGTGGGTTTTGACCGCGGTAGGTTGGAATTACGAGTAGGACTCGCAACACCAAACCACGGACGCCGCTAGTCTTAAAAAAGTATCAGGTATAAAATGAGAAGCAAAGGCGACCGGCGAGATAATAACCACATGACCAAGCGAATGCCGACTAGTCTATATAAATATGAGTCCACCATCATTTGCCAACGCGCCACAAACATTAAAACGTTTGCATTTGATAATTGAAAATGCGCTGTTGTGATTTGGTTTCATCTTCTTTTTTCTATGCGCTCGGTTTCGTATGCTCAGATCAGACCATCTGGTGGGCTGCCTCGATGAAGTCACATGTCAGCTGCAGGTCCTTCATTGTTCCCCATAGCTGGCTCTGTAAACTTTGCTGTTGAGGCCATGTTTATTTTTGTTTAGGTTGTATGTATAGTGGCATCATTTTTTTGTCATGTTATGAGAAGGCGGAAAATGGAACATGCTGTGACCACTAGAAAGTAGTGTGGAAAAAAGAGACCGAGGAAGACAGCGTGAAAAGATTCTTGACTGTCTTTGGTCATGGCATGGAGGAGTGTCAACCCACGAACTAATACACGCAGTTGCAGGTCGCAAATTGTGGAGAGGCATGATCGGCAAGCCACTTGATGATGATGATGAGGTAGAGGGAAAAGGTCTGCAGAATATGCTGATGTTTTTGTGGTCCAGTCTGACAGGCACATCGTGGGCACTGTACAGTCTTTGCTGTTTGAATCTGCTAGTTGAGCCTGCAGTGTCTTGTTCTTAGACGCAAAGTTGCTGATGGAGTCTAGCGTATGTTTACTGTTGGTTTGCTTTCTCCACAATTTGTGTGTGTGTGTGTTGATGTTTGGTGATGTCAATGAATGTGGCGAGTTCTTTCT